AAGGACTTTGTAGCTTTAATAAAAAACAAAAAAAGTTTAATTCTTACAGCGAAGACTAGGCATGGGCCGGTATGACGGTATCACATTATTGTCGTTACAGCTGGAAAATGTGTTATTTTTAAATGACTGGGTAAAAACAATAATTTTTCACAATATATCTTGTTTTTGAGCAACATACAGAATATTAGGGACAGTAGAATTTGTTCATTTTTTTCTTTGATTTGTTTCCTAAAAAGAAGAAAAATAAAGACGAGTCGGCTGCCTCCCCCTAATTATCAGCATCACCCCGTCCCTTAATCGCCGCCCTTTGCCAGGCTCCCGACATGAGTGGGTGCGTGAGAGAGGAGGGGTGCTGAAATAGCCAGGGTTGGTGGCGTGTGATGGGGCACACCTGAACCGAATGGAGCCTCATCACTGCCGCTGTTTAAATGCTGAGCGCGCCTCTCTTCGGGAGACCGGTCTCTTCCCCGTGCATGCACGCTGGTGTTCTCGTGGGTCCAGGAAGGGTGCGTAGAGGGAGTCTGGGTGCTGCCAGAGTCGCGAGCTGCCGGACGAGAACCGCACCCGTTACACGGCCGTTGGGCCAGGATGCCGGGCCGTCTAGTCTCTTTGCGTGCCGTGGGCAATGAGAAGGATGCAGCTGCTAGAAGAAGCCGCCGCCCCTCGCGCCCCGGACCGGAGAGGGGAGCGCGTGCGGCCGCCAGACTCCGTCCCTTACCTGGACCCTTCCTTCCTGACCACTGCCCTTCCCTTCACGAACCCCGCAGCACGACGAGGACAACAGATCCCCCGTTTATTTTGGACACTTGATTCCCTTTTTTTGGACACTGTTTATCTTCTGTTAATAAAAGCCTCTCTGAGGCCTGATGCCACATCCACTGTGTCTGTCGTTTCCTTGGTTACCGCTGTAAACAAAGCAGCACTGCGCTGAAACACTGCTGTAATATGAACTATACAGAGACGAGATGAAAAGAAAATACCACGTAAACGTTTCTGAAGACAGTCAGTTCCCCTCAGAAACACATTCATATAAACCCCCAAATCAATATTTAGGATTTTCTTCCAATAGTTCGTGCATCATGAACAGTGAGTGATCTGCCTGCTACAGTATTTTTCTCTGTGCATCTCTGGCCTGTGTTAACAGGCGTTTACAGACTTCATATTTTCACATAAATAACATTTTGGAAAATGATTGCATTGCAATGCAGTTTGTGCAAGTCCAGAACGGAGACGAGTTGCAATAAGACAAAAAACGTCCGGTTGCTGATCGCGTAAGTTCCAGGGACAGCTCCTTATTTCGGCCATCCTACACAGTACACACGTGACTGACCGCTCGCTCGCACCAACAGGAGGAGGAGGGTCGTGTTACTCTCTACACTGCACTCAACCTGAGGGATTCCTACACTTTCAGTCTTTGAGGAGACATGAAAAACGGCGCATACTGCAGGAACGGTATACCAGAAAATATTAGTGGTTTTGAAACCGTGAATTTTTCAAATCGCGGTATACCTTGAAACCGGTAATCGGCCCATGTCTAGTGAATACTATGCGGTTTTATTTTACATTTGATTATTAATTTCTGTAGTAGGCTGTAAAGTGCTTGAGACTAAATTAAAGCACAGTTCGTTTCATTTATATCTTTTATTCTATTGCATTTGTCCTTTGCTTTTTTTTATTACTGACAGTATAATTATTTTCAATAATTGAGGACTTTTTGTTTGAAATTCTGCTGGTCTCTACAGTGTAGATGTCATAGCAACCTTATTTACAGGAAATGTATATTTGATATGTATCACTATCTTTACATAAATGACTCTTACAAAGTTTTGGTCATATGGCCCCCTCATAATCGTGTTAATCGTGATTACAGTATTGGCCAAATCGGGATTATGATTTTGCCATAATCGAGCAGCCCTAGTTTGCCATGTTCTGACCATAAAGAATAGTTGAAAACCACAATTAACCATCAGGTCTCATTTATAAACACTGCACACGCACAAAATGGGCATAGAAATTGTACGCAATTTTCCACACACACATCGGGATTTATAAAAAATAAACTTGCCGTAAATATGTACGCACCGTACGGACATTCTAGACCATGCGTACACACTCTTTTTCCTGGAGTGAGAAAAGTAATGAAGTAAACAACGATTTTAAAATCTGCTTTTATTTTGATATACACATTTACATGAAATATTCCACTCTCATTAATAGAGATAAGCACTGAAATTACGTAAAGTTATTACACAGAAGTTAAACAAAAATGATATAAATTTAGACATATTTAGTGGATGCGCTTGATCACTCTTCCTGTGGCATGCTGTTTTAATGATGGCGAGGAGTGCGATGTCTGTCTGATCTTATGTTATGAGAAAATATTTTAGTGAGAACTATGATCAGTGATGCGCACTTCGATATTATGGTGGACACTGAAGTGAAGGCATCTCCACAATATTATGGAAAATACAACTGTATTTGAAGGATACAACTTGAATAAAATGGTAATTTGCATGTTTTCTTTTTAAAATAGGCTACTTTGTCAGTGACGTGCCGTGTCAGACAATTCTATTTACACTGCAATAAATATAGGCTAAAAATAGCTAAAAGATGTTCACCTTATCAGCAAAACTGCATAAATTAAATTTGATTTGTTTAAAACCACTGAAATACTATTCGGCCAGTTGAAAAGAATGAGATCAACTCTATTCTAAAATATTTATCTGAGAACTATTTTGAACAGTTTTGTTTTTATGGATTTTGATATATTTATGCTAAAACAAGGATACTGGATGATTTTTAGCAATAAAAATTGTGTATGGCATTTATAGTGCGTATCTCATATTTCCTTAATGTCTTGTACCTTTAATGGTGTTAAATATGGTGTCACGTGTATGGGAATATGCATGGAAATTATATGCAAATGAGGTTATGCATAGTAAAACTAGGCGTTATAAGCTCCATATATGGTGATTTCAGGGAGGAGTCGGGGTGGAGATGCACTGTACGCACAATCTTCCCCTGACTGGGATTTATAAAGGGATTTTTGCGCAGGTTCTGGCATATGCACGTTTTAATAAATCTGAAAACTTTTGTGCGTACGCAAAATCTAGCTTTTGTGCATACGCACACTTTTAGGATGAAATCTATGGAGAGTTTTATAAATGAGACCCCAGGTTTTTATGACTTTCACATTGGAGCAAAAATACTTTTATTGTGATAATTATCGATATTGACTGATATGAAAAAAAAAATATCAAGATCATTTTCTGGCCATATCGCCCAGCCCTACTGACCTGCCCACAAACACTTCCGTTAGTTAGTGTGTTTACATCATGTGGAGAAGACGCTGTGTTCTGCGTGGTGAAAGCAATTTTTTTGTTTTCATTGCCGAAAGATGATGATGATGATGTGAAGACATCACGCAAAGTACCACATACAAAGTTTAAATTTACCACTGAGAAAAGTCCTAATCTAGTCGTGCTTGCGATGGAGTTTCTGTTTGAGCGACTGCATCGGTATCATCCTCAGACTCAGGCTTGAATTATAAAGGTAATATCGATGTCTATTTTTGTAAGATTATAACATCTTTGTTTACAATTAACCCTCCAGAGCAAAAAAAAAAATTGTTAATGGGTGTTTTGTTTCCGACAACTGACCAATCACAACAGACGTGGCCAGCTGACCAATCAGAGCAGAGTAGGCTATGAAAGGGAGGAGTTTACAGACCTTAAGCTCAGAACTGCTTCGAACGAATCATTTTGAAATCATTGAAAAATTATTCTAATATTAAATGTATATTCTGAGAAAATGACTGTTTTCTGATCTTAGATGCATTTAAACCTGTTGTAGGGGACTCCAACACAATATTAGGACACTTTAAAATACCATATTACCTGCTCTTTAAGTATGTGTTCTGAGTTTGTCACACCACAGAAAAATGTATTAACCACTCAGCCAAATTTGAATGATAAAAAAATCTGCTAAGTACATAAAGTAAGTTATCAAAATCTCAATAAAGTATCCTCTGCTCTCAAACGTTGGGGGCTCGAAAGCAGCGGAGCTTTTTTTATGCCACAGTCGACCACTTCCACTCCTTCCGGTCGTGCGTATGTGGGGATAAAAAAGTAGCGCTGTTTTATCATACTAGATACGTTTGAAAGTTCTGTTATAATGCTACTCTGTGCAGTCGTCACCTGTCTAATAAAATGGATAACCTATTAAATCGTCTTTGGTGTTTCCATGTTTTCTACAAAACAAAACCGGAAATCGAGGGTTATGACGTCATTGGCAGGCGACACAATAACACTATGGACACGCTCCGTGTTTAAACGTTCTTTGAAACATTTGGGGTAATGCAAGTACACAAAGTCAGCAAAATATATAACACTGTTCTAGTGGTTTTTGGATATTTTAATAAAAACATCTTACATATTGTGCCTCTAACTGTCAACTACCACTACAGCCTGAATGGACGCTATTAGAGTAAATTTAGTAGAGTTACTGTGGACTACCTACTATAATTATAACATAAGAGCACAAGTTAACTTACACTCATTGGTGGGCACGTACTGCCGATGATGGCACCAAATGTCACAAAATGAATCCCCCTCTTTTTGATAAAATCATTAGGAAATTTAAATAGGGGCACGTAGCTGTTTTGTAAGTTATCACAACCAGGTAATACACATTTCCGTGATGAAGGCATAGCTAGCTAGCTAGCAAACTGTAGGCTGTAGTAACTAATGTTACTGACAGTAACTCGCGATTGAGCGAGTGAAATGATGCAAATGTACTCTAGTTATAGTGTTAGGGGAGGGGCCATGCTCGGTGGCTCCGGTGCGTCATCGACAGTTATTATAGTGTTAAGGGAGGGGCCATGATCGGTGGCTACAGTGCGTCATCGAGCCACTGTTTTAGCACCGCCCAAAAAAATCCTGAACACCATGAAATTTTCTCCAGTGCAATAGCAAATTAATTTCCTCTTTATTTCTCTCCAGGGTGAATTGCTAACACACTACACAAGAACTCTCACTGAGGGCTTGTCGATACCCCAGAGATTCATAATACTAATTTAGAGGTATGATTTTCACAAAATATTATTTAAAACACGTATTATTGTGTATTTTTTACTTGCATGGCTGTTAAAAAATTTATTTTGATAAGTTGGCAATGGAAAGCCCAACCTGTCTATATTGCTTTAAAACATGGTTGGTTGTATCTAGGACTGTGCAATATATTGAAATTATCGAAATATCGCAAATGTACATATCGCAATATGCATATCACTACAGCTTGCAATATTTGGGGCCATGAACAAAAGACAAAGAGAAAATCACTCACTGCTCTTCCCGAAATAACTTCTGTAGCTTAAATTAGAATCAGTGCATATTGAATTCAAAGAGTAAATACTAAGCAGTGTTTTATTTTTCCTTTTTATTATTCAGTTCCTAAACTCATGTTAAAATGACTTTTATGTTATGCTAGAGTAAAACACTGTTCACTTTCAGAAGTTGTTGTAGGGGTGCTTTCTTATTAGAATCAGAATGAGTTTTATTCACCACTTAAGTGTGCGCAAACAGGAACTCTTGGTACATGCATACAAATAACCATATATATATGACAAGATAGTTATAGAAGTTCACAGAACTGACTCAGCAACAGCTTAGTAAAACTGTTTCAACTGAGCATGTGGCACTTTAAGCATTATCATATCGCATATCGCATTTTTCTTCAATATCGCACAGCACTAGTTGTATCTGATTATCACTCATGAAATCATGTTTTCCTGATTCACTAGTTTGGCAGGCAAGTGTGAGGCCCCCTCATGCAGAACCGCAGGAAATGAATAAACCACCTCAGCCTATAACAGGACCCCCTGCCGTTCCCCACCCCGCCCAATCGCCAGGACTGACACAGGTGAAAGCGGAATCAGAGAAGCTTATGGTTTTGATCAGGATTATATGAGTGTCCTTTAACATTATCAGGGTTTCCATTTGTTCTACAGGCTGCCTATCCCCCAGGTCAGCCTCCCTCGGTTGTTTTTCCCGGGCCATCTCCACAAATGAACACTGCACCGCAACCCAGACAGGTACACTATCTTCAAGCTATGACGGTGTGTTTTTGTTTTTGTGTTTTTTTTTGGCTTAGCTAGATGTCCTAATTCCTGCTTGTGTTTGAGAAAAACTGCTACTCTTTACTTTCCTCCCAGTTTGCTCCAGGGCCTCGTGCTTTACACCAACAGGTACTACCAATTTTCATAAACTGGAGCCTGCTTGATTTCTGAAGTCTTCTGTCTGTACACCCCCTCCCCCCCCACCCACCACCAAAACTAGTCTATAATAAACTACAGGTTCTCTTGCATTTAGGTGCTGCTCTTGCTAGTCTTTGTGTATTCATTACCATTGTCAGTAGGGTTGGGAATCCATATGTTTAATGAATCATGTTCAGATTCAATTTAAAGCACACGTTTCACACAAAGCACTAAAAATGTTTAACTTTTTATTGCAACAAACCTGTTCCCGATGTATCTTGATAAGTAACCACTCCATTTAAGTCTCCTGTAGAGTTTTAGCATTTATTTTATTAAAATGTTTCTTGATTTCTTTTGAGTTAGAATTGATGAAAGTAATGACATGAACCCCATAATATGTCTCTGGCCTATTCAGTGTCTTTAGACAGTTTCAAACTGCTCAGTCTTTCTGATTCTTTGAAAATAACTTGCACAAAGGAGTAATTTACTGGTTGTACTTATGCCTTTGTTGCATGCAACCAATAGCTACTTTTACATTCAACCAAATAATCCGTTGAAGACTCACCAGTAGTTGGATTGATGGCTGAATCTGACTGAAAAGCCTTCTTATAAACACCTCAAGCCAAATAAAATTTTAGTCAGCTTGAAATGATTGGTGTAGACCTGGAATAACCTGATCAATGTGAAAAAAATTAAAAATGTAAACGCTTCCCAAAATGTTTATTTACATCTTACAAACTGGTCAGACTGAATATGTTTGAGAAATGTTAACAGAACTGAACTTTCTAAATCATGTAATGAACAAATTCCCAACCCTAATTGTCAGAGGCTGCATGTGTTTTAATAGCTGTTTTGAGTCTTATCCTTTCACCATGGCCAACTTGTTCTCTGTGTGCCACTGATCTTTGTTGTACTTGCGCTGTATTTCTCAGGCTGTTCTTAACTGTGCATGTTGGAAGCTTGCTTTCACTGCTGATGGCTAACGTTTACTGCTGCTGCTTGTTGTCTGTTTCTCTCTCACACCTTCTCTCCACTCTATTTCTTCTGCTATTTTGTGTGGCTGAAGGGTGGATTCAGGTCACTGCAGGTAACTGGCCCTCTCATCTCCCTCTGTCCACAGCCAATGTAATCAGACTGTCCAGACATTTAAAGAAAAAGCAAGTTACCACTTATACTGATAAATTGTGTACAGTAAGACTAGAAATTTGTGTTAAGAAAATGGGGTAATTTTGATTTCATGTTGAGAAGGACCACAAAGGAAAATAGGTTATTGATCATTCTTGGTGTGAACTGGTGGCAAGTTAGGAAAATTTGTGGTCTCAGGCTTTAAGCATTCAAGAATGAATGTGGGTATCAGGATGTTGTACTTCAGCTCTTCTGTTGGTAATTATGTTAGTGTCAAATATACTGATCTTAAAATATAGTCTACACTAGTTTTCTAAGATCATGTGACATTGAAGACTGCAGTAATGACTGCTGAAAATTTGATCCTGCGTTTGTATGTTTATGAATGGATGTGGATGAAGTAACATTACAGAAGTAACAGAAAATTTGAAGTTTGGTCTTGTGTGGCTTGTTTTCTGAATCGGTCTCATTTCCCCAACAGCCGTATTACCCTAACCGGCCCAACATGCAAGGCAGTGCCCCTCGGGTCCCACCCAGCAGCACCCCCCGGTCTGTTGCACCCACTCATGTCTACCAACCTACCTCACAGGTTATGATGATTCCCCAGCAACCGTTGTCATTCGCCAACACTCACTCAACCATTTTCCTGCATGGACAGGTAACACCTATTGTTCTTTGAACAGCTATGTTGTGCACTTTTTGTGAGGCTGTTTGTGCATCTAACAACCTTTTGTTTTCTGTTGTAGTACCGGCCCCCCTACATGCCCCCAACGCAGCAGTACTCTGCAGGCTTTTACCCTGGAAGCAGTCCAGCTGAATACGGTACATATGGTAAGAGGCTCTGCTCTGGGCCTCCCCTGCTTGTTTGAACCACCCAACCCTGTTTTTTTTCTTACTTGTATATCTTGCTGTTTTCATTCAAAAGTGGTCTTACACCAGTCTGTAGAGCACATCGGATTCCTGATGAATCTTTAAATGTTCAGGAAACATTTTTGTAGATCTGTTGTTGTGGTGCCAAAATTACACTTGATACAAGTTACATGACTCTATAAGTGCCTTTTTCTTAATGTATCTGTATTTTTTCTTGTATTTTAAAGTTTTTTTTTTTCTTTTTTTTTTCCAGTAAAGAGAATGATGATAATGTGCAGTTATATTAGCAAAATAATTTTGGTCCTTTGTCAATAATGTGTGGTGTATGAAGCATTCATTACACAGAGGTCACTTTCAAACCAAGCAGCTTTCTGTTTGAACTTTAATCTATTGTGAAATCTGCATGGGAAGATCTATTGCCCTCACATGAAATTCAAGATTACATTAATTACTACTGAAATGACTGCATTACACCCTCAAAAATTTGCTGAACAACAGTAACTGGTGTGTGACAGCCCTTTAACAATGGGGAAAAAGCTGGCTGTAGAGTTTTATTCCAATCTCTCCCAGTGGGCATTTATGCTGCGGCGCCCGGGGAGCAGTTGGGGGTTCGGTGCCTTGCTCAAGGGCACCTCAGTCGTGGTATTGAGGGTGGAAGAGAGCGCTGTACATTCACTCCCCCCCCATCTACAATCCCTGCCAGTACGAGACTCGAACCTGCAACCTTTGGGTTACGAGTCCGACTCTGTAACCATTAGGCCACGACTTCCCCAAATAGGAAGTCGAAGTTGGAATATAAAATTGTGTATGTACCTGTGTATGTTTTGGATAGATTTTGTAACTTCACCTTAGAAGACTTATGTTATATCAGTAATATACATTAAATAATATCCCTGTCATAACTAACCACTAAGCGCCTAGTTCTACCCTCTGCTCAGATTATTGGCTCACTAACCATGTTCAGCACTTATATCTGTTGCTTGTTGTTTTCTCTTACTCACTCTCGACCTTTGTCTCTTTCTCTGTCTTTTCTTGCTTTTCTCTCTTCCCTTCTCTTTTGGCTGAGTTCAGATCCCTCTCTGGCAGGGAGGGAGAGGCAGGGGGGTGGGGGGAGAGGTGTGGGTAGAGAGAACGGACGTCTCTCGCTGCACGGAGCTCCTCTCACCTCCCAGCGCTATCCTGGTGAGTCTGAAGCGCAGGGCTGTTTCTGTTACACCTCTTGTCTGTGTCTTGGCCTGGCTGGTTGTGTTTTAACACCGCAGGTAACATGTAACCTTTGATGTAATGCTACTTCAACTTCTGACTCCCAAGTCCTAGACAAAAAAAAACAACTGCAAACATTCTGGGATGTTAAAAGGACAGTTATCGAATACAATTTAAATTCACGTCTCTCACACTTAAATGCCCTTTGTATGGAATATATACGCTCCCTTCAAACTGGAATCATGGAGGAATATCTGGTAATGTCCACTTCGCAGGGCACTTGCAGTCAAATATAACAAACGTATGAAGCAATAAGGGAAACATACAAAATGTGCAGAGCGGGGGTACGCGAGGACTGGAATTGAGAACCGCTGTTCTAGACATGCCAAAATTTGAGGCTACAGCACAGCAGCTCTTCTTGGGTTTTCTCTGATGCACTAACTCTGCAGCAGCACTTCTTCTCCGTCGTCTCGTCTGATGCACTCACTCAACCAAGCGTTCTAACCACAACCTCGCCCCACCCCATCCCCCAACCATTCGAATTTCTGTAGGCGGGAATTATTTGTAATGAAATTCTAATGAGCCGCTTTGTGATATCACAAAGCCCGGAAAACAAACGCTGTAGTCCCAACGAGCCGTTCGTTGTAGTTCTTGAAAAGGGATTTAAAAAAAACTAAATCTCCCATTGGAGTGGATTTTGAGATTTGTAACTTTCTAGATCTTTTTAATGCCCAAACATACACGCTACACACTGACTAAAATTAAGAAAGTGAAAAAGCATAATAGGACCCCTTTAAGAGATTTATGACAAGATTTATATGAATTATTGTTTTCCCCAAAGCATCGAGAAGTGCTTTTGGTGGGCGGGAGAATACTTTGCATGTGTCCCCCTCCCATTAAAGCTGGTTGTCTCTTATTTTGTGGTCTAATCTTCTCTCTCTTTTTTTTATTTATTTTTTTTATTTTGTGATGTCTAGCAGCTACCTATTATCCTGCAGCACAGCAGTACCCAACTCCAGTGTCCGCCACACCTGTCATGATGACTCCCGCTCCGCAGCAACCAGCTCCACCTCCACAGCAAGCTCCGCCTCAGCAGTCAGGACAAGTTAAACTGAGAGAGCGCAAACAGGTGGGTGGGAACAACATTTGGTGTGTTTTCATTTTGATCCATTTGTCTGTGACTTACCAGTTGTTTCCTTACAGATCAGAATACGTGACCCCAACCAGGGTGGACGTGACATCACTGAAGAGATCATGTCTGGTGGGAGAACAACCTCCACACCTACTCCTCCACAGGTTTGTTGATAGCTTCATGTGTTTATAATGACATGAGCATGGCAAAAAGGACATGCTAGAGCTGAACTATTTTGGAATTTTTTTTTTTACCAATATTGCGATTTAATATGCAATTATTTTTTTTAAAGCTCTTTGTTCTGTATTATTCAACAAAGACAAGCTATAAATCATTGTATGGTATGACTAGGGATATGCCGGTATCAAATTTTCATGTTGAGATTAATTGCTAATGCTTTTATCACGGTATACGGTATATCACGATATTTAAATTTAGTTTTAAAAAAATGCTGTCATAATACAGTATAACAGGTTTAATAACTTTTTTCTTATAACAAAAATAACTGAACATTTAAATGCAATAAAGCAATACAGAAAAATGTATAAAGTAGGTAGGTATCACTTTACAATAAGACCTCATTAGTTAACCTTAGAGCTGTAGTCAAGTCCAGCTTTGTCGAGTCCAAGACCAGGACTAGTGAAGACCGAGTCCAAAGAGGTTCGAGTCCAAGTCAAGTCCAAGTCCAAAAGTTTCGAGTCCAAGTCAAGACTGAGTCCAAATGAGAGGGGAAAAAAGGATCCTCTTCAAGACCACAAACTTAACTATTGATAATGTATGTGATGCGAGAGACATCATATCTCCTATTCTAAGAAAATAATTTTACATTATTATTTGTAATGATCAAAATGCATGTGCAAAGTAACAACCGAGACCGGACCGGGACCGGACTCGAGTACTACAGCCTTAGTTAACCTTAGTTAATGCATTAACATTCACAATGAGCAATAGCTACATTTGCTACAGAAGTTATTTATCTTTGTAAAAAATAAAAATACAAGTCTTAGTTCATGTTAGCTCACTAAATAACACAGTTGCAACTTTCGATTTTAACAACGTGTTATTAAATATTGGAATACCTAAGATTAATGAATGTTCAAAATTTTTTTGAATTAACTAATGAAGCCCTAATGTAAAGTGTGACTGAACAATAAAGAATCAAATCACTTTCAAACAATATCTAGGGCATGTTGTAGTCCAGATTAAAATGTGAAAAAAAGTTTGAAAATAAATAGCCTATTATGTCTAAATATTTAAGTATTTGGCGCTGTGATGAACATCATAGCAAATACACAAATCTCAATGGCTGTTTAAATCATTTAAACATTATTCAGAAACAAAGTAGTGCAGCTGCTTTGTTTACAGGGTTTCCGGGGTAGTGGCTGCATTTCTGCAGTTTAGCGCCATCTGCTGTCAGAGAGTGAAAGTGTGCTTTCATCCAGAGCGTCTCTCGCATGTTCCGCTATGCGCTTCTCGCTATGCGTCTTTCAAGCAGCATACAGCGGGGTTGTGCATTTTGACCAGTTGATGGGGAAAGTATTCTTAAAATGCATTCAAAATTCAGAATAATTTGTAATATATAATTATTCATGGTATTTAGAAGTGCCCACGATGACAATATCGTGCATATTCATTACCGTGATATATCGCATTACCGAATACCGGCACATGTCTAAGAATGACCAACACATTATTAGATGGATTAAACATAAATGTTCTTTTCTCCAGGCCAGGCCTGTATGTTATGATGAAATTAGGTGATGCATGAATTGATATGAATGACAATTTTGTTTAACAACTACAATCACAGTAGTATATTGACTGATTTGTTGAACTTCCAACCTTGTAAGCATGTTATAATTGACAACATAAAGCACTGACAAATAAGCCTGGTGTAAACATTAAAATGAAAGTCAGTAACAAATCACACAAACTAAAGTAGATTGCAGAAATATAAAAACAAATCTGTTGCTTTACCACACTACTTTAGGTCATTCAATGTCACTGTAATAAACATGTAAACGTGGACTGCATTAAACACTATCTGTTAACTTTAAACCAGTGGTTCTCAAACTTTTTTGGTCGCGCTCACTTCTTTAAACCTATAAAAAAAATCAGTTTTTCTGCTGATGGCCTGCGCTCGACTGCGTCTTTCAAGCAGCATACAGCGGGGTTGTGCATTTTGACCAGTTGATGGGGAAAGTATTCTTAAAATGCATTCAAAATTCAGAATAATTTGTAATATATAATTATTCATGGTATTTAGAAGTGCCCACGATGACAATATCGTGCATATTCATTACCGTGATATATCGCATTACCGAATACCGGCACATGTCTAAGAATGACCAACACATTATTAGATGGATTAAACATAAATGTTCTTTTCTCCAGGCCAGGCCTGTATGTTATGATGAAATTAGGTGATGCATGAATTGATATGAATGACAATTTTGTTTAACAACTACAATCACAGTAGTATATTGACTGATTTGTTGAACTTCCAACCTTGTAAGCATGTTATAATTGACAACATAAAGCACTGACAAATAAGCCTGGTGTAAACATTAAAATGAAAGTCAGTAACAAATCACACAAACTAAAGTAGATTGCAGAAATATAAAAACAAATCTGTTGCTTTACCACACTACTTTAGGTAATTCAATGTCACTGTAATAAACATGTAAACGTGGACTGCATTAAACACTATCTGTTAACTTTAAACCAGTGGTTCTCAAACTTTTTTGGTCGCGCTCACTACTTTAAACCTATAAAAAAAATCAGTTTTTCTGCTGATGGCCTGCGCTCGACTTGAAGCAGCGCTGCTTAGATCGATCGGTGTGTGTCATCAAAGTACTGTGAGAGCTATAAGAGAGCGCGGACGTCTCCTCATGCTTTCTCTTGCCGTACTTTGATGTCATACACCGATCGATCTTCAAGTCGAACACACCTCTTTACTCTCGCGTGTCATGTGACCGAGTGTAATCGCAGCCTCTGCGATTGAAAAATTGCGTTTTTTCATATCGCTAATGCAATTAATCGTTCAGCCCTAATGCTGCTTTTAACGGATTGTTCTTAGATTGCTGGTCCAGAGGTGGCAGGTCCTGTCCAGACCAATGGTGAAAGTGTTTCGGCTGTTGCTGCTGTGATCAAAGCTGGTGAGTGGGCTTTCTTGAAAATACCTAAACAGGTTTTTGACGTTGAAGTCTGAGTTCCCACTGTCCTGGAAAATGTGGAAATAATCAGGGAGTTTCAAAAGTTATTTCCATGGCTCAAAATGTCATTGGGAAAAAAAAATGTTGGCACCAAAAGTTTCAAAAGAGTTATCAAATCACAAACAATGTGAACCTGAAGTGATGTTAGCAAGAAATGCATTTTATTTGGTCCAGTAGTACTTTTAAGCAGATTCTTATACTTAATTTTGCTCCGATATTTTTTGAAGGGTTTCATTTTTTTTCTTAAGATGAAAATTAACATGCTTTGGTGTTATCTGATTTTATGCCACTTCTTACTGAAGACTCTGATCAAAAACAGCTCAAAGGCTGTCTTTTTGTGCTTCCTTTTGTTGCAGTAAGCTTGACCAGAATTCAGCACTCAGTACCTTCATTGTGTATTTTATATTTTTATTCTGTTGTATTCATTTGCCCACCATCCTACAAATTCAGAGAGATGTCACGTCATGCATAACGATTGCTGTTTAAATTCAATCAATAAGTGGTGTCACTTCAGTGTACTCATTCATTCTGTAAGTAATATGTATATGTAGCTAGTGTTATATTGTAAGGCTTAATGTTTAAAACCACTCAAACACCAAGTTGGAGGTTAACCTTTTAAGGTTATTTATACTAATTTCTAAGGATGTTCTTATCAGAAATTCTAATTAAGTTTTGTCTTTAGAACAATCTTAAGAAAATAATATTTTAGAATGATCTTGTTTTAGGATTAAAAAATTCAAAAGTTAGAAAATGAGAAGGAAAATATCTAACAGCAAAGAAGAATTTCATTCTAAGAATGTTTTGTGAGTCCGGCCCCAGGAATGTTAAAACAGCAGGTGGAATATTTTTTTTGATTGCGCTTATTTTATGTTTGTCCTCTTTCCTGTCCTTGATCCTCAGATGATCAAGCGAAGTCCATGGCTCCTCCTGCAGCTGTGTCCACCCCTCCTCCATCAAAGACGCCAGAGCAAGCCCCTCTTGCACCTTCAGCCACTGACTCTGAACCTGTGTCAGAGGTCAGACCTGCTTCACCTGTGAGCAAGATTCCCATTCCTCCAGGAGAGGACCCTGCGATATCCCCTGCACTCCCACCAACTCCTCCTCCCACAAACAATCCACAACTTTCAAAGCCTCAAACTGGTGACAGTGTGGATGCTCCAGTACTCCCCGATGCCCCAGTTCAAAAGAAGGAGCCTGAGGACGCCCCACCAGTAGAGCAGACTTCTACTGGGGTTGCACAAGAGGAGTCAGAGGTAGCCAAAGAGAAAGAGCCAGAACCTGTGGCTGAACCTGTGGTCGAAACAGAGGCCGCATCTGACACATCTAGCCCGGCTGCTGTCATCTCCACCCCTGTGGAGCCTCCTCCTGCTGTAGCCAATGATGGTGACGTTGCTTCCAAGGACACCGCACCTGTAACCACAGTGACACCTGTTCCAGAACCAGTCGTTGATGAGCCAAAGGAACAGCCTTTGCTTAACGGTTTGCCTGAGGACTCTGCAGAGGCTCCAGTAGTGAAGCCAGAGAGCTCCACTAATCCAGTTGCTGAACAAGAAGTTCCTCAGGTCCAACAGAGCTGCCTTATGGCCGTGGAAGCACCTGTAGAGGAAGCAGAGGAGCAGAAAGCAGAGGAGACACCTGCCCCTGTAACAGTCTGCCCTGTTGAGGAAATGACTATGCAAGGTGGGGAAATAAGTTCTTGAGAAAAACTTAGCGTATTGGTTTCTCTCCTTCAAGATGAAGTTTGACTTTGGTTTCTCTTTTCCTAGCTGCCGTGACAACAGTGCCAAAGAAGAAAAAGAAGATCAAGGATCTGAATAAGAAAGATGTCGGAGATGTCCTAGATGCCTTCAAAGAGGTTTGTAGTAATACGACACATTTTGGCTTTATTACAGTAGGACTTCTGTGACTGTTATGAAGAGTTCAGTTGTGCATTTATAACAGGGTGTCCGCGGGTCCTTAAAAAGTCTTAAATAACGATTTCCTAATATAAGGCCTTAAAAAGTCTTAAATTCGGATTCGATGGATATTAAATATTTTTGCTTTCATTACCGCTAAAATATCTTCAGTCCGACAGACCTAATGACTTTACAATCATTGGCCAGACCGAAGATGTTTTCTTCCCGCGGTAAGTTACTGCGTCATCAGAGAGAACAGAATACAAGCTCGCACTGAGGCTCACTCTGTTTGTCTCGAGACTTCAGAACAAATGAGCGTGACAGCACACACATACTCAGAAGAAACGCACTGAGGTAAAAATTCTAAATGTTTAGTTTATTCATAACATGCTATAGTTAAATAACACCATGACAAGTGAGCCATTTTACTCAATATTCTCACGACGCAAAAAATAAACAAACATTCAAAACATCTACAGAGTTGCATGCATTACGTGAAGTCTAGTGCGCGTGCGCATTTTCTACAGAGTTGCATGCATTACGTGAAGTCTAGTGCGCGTGCGCATTTTGAGTGCGCTCTGCCTGATCACTGCATGATTCAGTCTATTAAAATACATTCAGAATGATCACACATTCAAGACATGGGGGCAGAAAATGTGTATATTTATACTCAAGTTCACACGGAAGAGTGCCTTTTTTTAGAAACTTATAGAAAAATGGCTTTATAAACGTAAAATGCCCATAAAAGGTAAAGATCTATTTAAACTTATCTGACCACCACACAGAATATGAAGAATATCAAAAACTTTAGGAATCAGCTGTCCACGAAAGTCCTTAAGATACCAGCATGATAACACACTCAATCAGTTGAATGAATGACTCAATACTCACTCATTAAGTGACTTACCGTCACTTACTGGTAGTTTAGTTGAGAAGTTTGTTGAAAAGTATGCATTTTTCCCCTCAACATTTCTTATTTGTATATTCATAAATGCATTTAAAACATTAATCTCATAACATTATTTATTGCAGTTGTAATTATTGTTATTTGTAGTGTAAATTATTTAATCTGACTGGTAGCAGCCCTATAGTGTGTATTGAATTTATTGATAAATTGTAATAATTTGACATGTAAGATGATGCATACACCTAAAAAGGTTAAAAATAGGCCTTTGTAAATGTAAATATGCAGATTTAAGTATGTAAAAGCTGATAGAACACTGATGAAAATATTGCTTCAGAATAAATTGTTTACTCCACCAAAAATCTGTGATGCAGTTATTTTGTGGGGATATTTTGTATGGAATATTGTCTGCTGACATGAAAAGTTCACTGTATATCATAGTAATAAATACCATTTATTACAGCACTGATATTTTGTTTTCTTTTTAATTTATACACATTAAATATTACATATATGTATGTAATAAAATGTGTATTTCCATTACAGGTTTAGGTCTTAAATTTCATATAAGGTGGTATTAAAAAGGTCTTAAAAAGTCTTAGATTTAACTTGTTCAAGTCTGCAGAAACCCTGTATAAATCTTCTGTATCCATTTCAGCCTGAGGAGGAAAAGCCTGCTCTTGAGCCAGAGGTTGCTCAGAAAGAGCCTTCCCCAGCTCCAACCCCTGCCCCACCAGCTGAAGAGTCAGACGAAACATGGGAGGACAAAGAGGACAAGCTCGACACAGAAAATATTGAGCCTGAGGCATCTAAACCTGTGGAACAGAAGTATCAATATAAAGAAGGTTAGAAGTCAGATTAATTGGGTCTCGTTTGAGAATGTTCATCCTGTTTCATAGATTACGGCAATATATGAGAGTCCTTTTATTTAGAGGGCAGCTTACTGTAAGCACACTACCGTTCAAAAGTTTGGAGTGGGTAAGATTTCTTAAATGTTTTTGAATAATCTCTTATTCTCACCAAGGCCACATTTATTTGATAAAAAAAAAAAGACAGTAAATCAGTAATATTGTGAAATTATTATTAATTTAAAATAACTTTTCAATTTTTATACTTTTTAAAATGTAATTTATATTTGTGATGTCAAAGCTGAATTTTCAGCCGCCATTGCTTTGTCTTTAGTGTCACATGATCTTTCAGATCTTATTCTAATATGCTGATTTGATGCTCAAGAAACATGTTGTAGTATAAGTGTTGAAAACAGTTGTCTTGCTGACCCCAGACTTTTAAATTTACTCAAAGACCCTTTGTGTATGTTTACGTTAATGCATTTGACATGTTTTTGATTTGATGCTCAAGAAACATGTTGTAGTATAAGTGTTGAAAACCGTTGTCTTGCTGACCCCAGACTTTTAAATTTACTCAAAGACCCTTTGTGTATGTTTACGTTAATGCATTTGACATGTTTTGATACAATTTTTGGGGGGAGTTGTATACTTTATTAAAAAAAAAAAATTTAACTGTCATTGCATTATTTTGTGCATTCGACAGTGAATAAAATTTACATTTTTAAATTAAGTTTATTTAATGGGAATGCAAAAAATAAATAAACCAAACCTGTAATCCATAACTTGGATAAGTGGTACATCAAGGCTTTCTTGATTTTTAATTTTTAGTTTGTTTTGTGCAGGGTAAATTCTTATTCAAAATGTTTGTGGACCTGTTTTGCAACTTTTTTTTTTTCCTCTCTCTCTTCGCTCTCCCCTTTGCAGAGCAATGGAAGCCCATCAACCCAGAGGAGAAGAAACAATATGATCGAGAATTCCTGCTTGGTTTCCAGTTCATTGGTGCAAGCATGCACAAGCCAGAGGGTTTGCCGCACATCAGTGACGTTGTCTTGGACAAGGTGAGGCTTCCATCTGGACCCAACAGGTTTAACCTGTGCTGTGTCTTGCTAAATATTTGAATAACCCTCTTGCTCTTTGCTGTTTGGACAACAGGCAAATAAAACACCCTTGCGGCCCTTGGATCCCAGGAGTCTGATGAACTGTGGGCCTGATTTCACACCTTCATATGCTAACTTGGGTAGACAGTCATCCGGAGGAGGAGGGCGAGGACCGGTAAGTTGACTTTCTTTTCTCTTATGATTCAGAATTCAGTTAAAAGTAATGTTGCTTTATGTTGAGATCGATCATTTATTTTTAAAAGTTGCACTCCTTTCAGTCTGCACGGCGCCCTCAGCCGGGTCGAGGCAAAGACCAAATGAGTCGCAACCCCAAGATCATCACCAGCTTGTCTCTTAAAGACAATGTGGAACTCAACCAGGCTAAGAATGCTTGGACGCCTTCAGTGAAGAAGCAAGGCCGAGAGCGTGGAGGAGAGGAGGATAAGGAAGACTCAGAAGCTGTGAAAACGCAGGAGCTGTTCCGCCGCGTGCGCAGCATCCTTAACAAGCTCACGCCACAGATGTTCCAGCAGCTGATGAAGCAGGTGACGGAGCTCACCATAGACACTGAAGAGAGGCTCAAGGGTGTCATTGACCTCATCTTCGAGAAAGCCATCTCTGAACCCAACTTCTCTGTAGCTTATGCCAACATGTGCCGCTGCCTTATAGGGGTGAGTAACGTTCATCTGTATGTTGGCTTGCCTGTGTGGGCTCCATTTTGTGTCACGTGTCTGAGCCACTGATATACTCTGATGGGATTGAGGAACTGAGGAGCTTTAATAGTGTTAATGTCAGTAATAAGATAATTGATTTGCCATTTCTGCAGTGGCAAATGTAGACAATTCATTTTTTCATTTTTAGTGAACTATCCACTTGTTGCACTCATGTCATTTCAAATCCATAAGAATTATACAAATTATTCAAATTATTCAAATCTTCGAAACATACAAATGACAGTAAGCCTAAAAGATTTGTCACTTGACAAGGTCCTTTGTACCAAAATTTCTTGCTTCACAAAGTTAATAAAAACACTATTAAAAAAAAAAAACAATCCATATGGATTAAGCGGTTTAAGTCTCTCTTCTGAAGAGATTAACTCAATTAATTTAGCCTTTATTCACCTAAATATAGATCAGCACACATAGAGATCATAAAAAATGGTCAACAGAGGCTCAACCGTCCTTTCTTGATGTGTAAACAAGCCTCATTGGTTCTCGCATTCAGCTTTTGTTTTCCACATTTGAGTAATTGATGACAGAATTACTTGGCTGTTTACCTGAATTGCTAGTTTTGTAGGAAATGTGAATGGGGAAATAATTGAGCTTGTTACTGATTTTCTTTTCCAGCTTAAAGTCCCCACTTCAGACAAACCGGGAGTCACTGTGAATTTCCGTAAACTACTGCTCAATCGTTGTCAGAAGGAGTTTGAAAAGGACAAGGATGATGACTTGATCTTTGAGCAGAAACAAAAAGAGCTGGATGCTGCCACTGAGGTGACGTCTTGCCACATTTGTAAAATTAATTCTGTACAAGTGTATGAAATGCTTCTATTAAAATGGAAACAATGTTTTATTTTTACCTTAGGAAGAGGTACGTCAGCGCCTGAATGAGGAGCTGGTGGATGCCAAGGACAAGGCACGTAGACGGTCGCTTGGAAACATCAAGTTCATCGGAGAGCTGTTCAAGCTGAAAATGCTGACAGAACCCATCATGCATGACTGCATTGTCAAGCTCTTGAAGAACCATGATGAGGAGAGCTTAGAGTGCCTCTGCCGGCTGCTATCCACCATTGGAAAAGATCTAGACTTTGAGAAGGCCAAGGTACAGCACCATTTGTACTTAAGCAGGATGCTGTGATTGACCAATCATAATCAATTACCTATCAGAACTCTTGTGGGTTTATAATGGGATATGAGCTTTATGATTACGTTAGGTCTACATTCCTTTTGTGTACTATATTTTTCTATTGTATAGCATTTTTGACAGTAGTTTACTTTGCTACAGTCAGATTTAATGTTGGCCTATTGTATGCAGCCTCGTATGGATCAGTACTTCCACCAGATGGAGAAGATCATTAAAGAGAAGAAGACATCTTCTAGAATCCGCTTCATGCTTCAGGATGTATTAGACCTCCGAAAGGTAACCACATGCTTGGTTTAGCAAATTATTTTAAAAAGGTATTTGGCAGGAACCTCATTTACAGTTCTTAAAACTTAGAACACATATGGTATGTTTTCAGTTCTTCTCACTATTTATGTCTTCATTCTTTTAACTGTATGTGGTCTCTGTCACACAGAACAACTGGGTGCCCAGAAGAGGAGATCAGGGTCCCAAGACCATTGATCAGATCCATAAAGAGGCAGAGTTGGAAGAACACAGAGAACAAATAAAAGTACAGCAACAGCTGCTGTCTAAGAAAGACTCCAGTCAGGGTAGAGGGGGCCGTGGTGGGCAGCACTCCTCTGGCGGCCGTGGTAGCCAGACCCAGGATGAGGGCTGGAACATAGTGCCTATTACCACAAAGAACAGACCGATTGACACCAGCCGCCTCAGTAAAATTACTAAGGTGAGGCTTTGTAACATTTCTTCTATTTTAGAATATCCAACTTTTATAATGTAATTGTTGAAAATGATATTTTTTCATAGCATAATGATTTGTTGTTTGATGTGCTTAACCATTTTTCCTCCTTTTCCCTTTTTCTTCAGCCTGGTGATTTCAACATCCAGCTGCTGGCCCCAGGAGGAAAGGGCTCCTGGGGTAGCTGGGGCAAAGGGAGCAGTGGAGGCACAGGAGCCAAGTCCACTGGAGATCAAGGTGAGCAATCGCCTACTCTTATTTACCTTGGACCTCACTTAGCATAGAGAAGCCCAGCTATTAATGTAGGGCTGCAACAAACGATTATTTTATTATATATAATCGATTAATGTAGCGATTATTACAACGGTTAGGCGACTAATCGTCGATTATTTCACCAATTAATCGGTAGGCTTTGATCTATTATTCAGCTTTTACAATTAGTTAAAATACTGAGTTACACATGTTACACTGAGTTAAACTAACTGATAAATAAAACAAGGTAATCACTTCAGATTTGAAGTGAATGTCAGTTATCAAACAATTATATTACTATTGTACGATTACAATTATTTTTTACAATACAAAAATATATTTGGCACACAGAGATGAGACACTTTCTCATTCACCATTTAATTAACTGCATGAAGAAGTTATTGACTGACTGAATGATGCATCCTTCTGCCTGACATCGCCTTTTGTAAGTCATATATGGATCAAAATAAAGTGCTAAGACATTTTATTTTTGATAAATTGTTATTCACATTAGCGCTCTTAAAACCTTATAGTAATCAAAACAGTACTGAGCTAGATCTAGCTTTAATCTATGCAAACCAAACTATCACTTTAATGTAATTAATTGTTTTATTTTTGCATTCACTAATAAAAAAGATTCTATCATTAGCTAGTTCCACACTGGACAGCTGCTTTATAGCTGAAAGTCAAGTTGTAATTCTACCTGAAAGCGAGACTTGACACTGAGACTTTTTTTTTTTTTTCTCCTTTTTAATACTGTAAAGCTGCATGCTTTAAATCAATTTATTGTATAATGCGCTATATAAATAATCGTGACCTGACTGTGGTGCCGATTGCAGAGCTGGTGCAAACTTATCCACATCTTTATGATCAGATGCTTTCTTAACTGCTGTTTTCTCTGCAATGTCTTCTCTTTGTTGCGTGTTTATTTCGTTATTGAGTAGAAAGCGTGCTGCACATATTTACATATTCATTTAAACTTTGATTTCAGCAATTGCTGCTGTTTACCAATGAGTGATACCTCAAATCATGTGACTTTAGGAAAGGTGGTATTACTTTTCCAGTGTTTTCCACAGGCTTGCACTCTTGTCGGCACTTCCCCTGGGGGAAATATATATCTATATAATGTAAATATAAAACAGCGATGGGCTTATTAAAAGTGCACATTCATTCTCTGCCAGCAGCAGGCGCTTTTGGAGCCTCAGAAATAGCGGTTTCCTCTGTAACGGCTGTAATCAAAGCAGCGCTGCACTCATGAACACTGCTTTATCAGGCATTATAGGAAAGATTAAATGAAAATGACAAACTTTTCTGAAAACAATCGGTTTCCTTCAAAAAAGATACATATAGAAACACCCGTGCCGTCATTTTCCTTATTAAATGTCATCTTTTACATCAAATTCTTACTTTTTCAATTAATTCAGTTAGAATAATAAGAAACTGTAGAGTTGTTACCATTCAAATGAAATTATTAACAAACTCTATCTTACCACTGCTGAGGAAACAGAAGCTGCATCTGAAGTGGCATTAGATGCATTTACACAGACCTTTTGATGATGCTGAGGTGCCATAAATGCATTTTAAATTCTAATTTTATAAGAAATTTTAACCCAAATAAATGTTGAAAAAAATGCAATGATACTTTTAAATGACTAAACCACCAGTAGGTGGCGGCAGATGTCTGTTTTAATGAGAGTCATTTATTCATTAATTCAACGATTCATTCAAAAGACTATAAATACATTATCATTACATTATCAGTCGCCATTTACACTGAATACAATTTAAATTAGAATCATTCTCACGCGAAACGACGTGTTTACACGCGACTGTAAGCGTGCGCGTGGCTGTGACGTCATTGCCGGTGCCGCAGGCTATAAAAGGATCGGCTCGGAATCAGCAAGACGTGAGACATGCAAAAAATCGTCCGATTCCATTCACTGGCCGGTCAATCGGTGCATCTCTAGACATGATTCTTAATTTAGGAACCAGCATGTCTTAGAGACTTGGTGGTCTTGGTTGTCAGAACATTGTAGCAACAACTCTAAGCAACTTCAACAACAACCTAGCAACCACCCACAACATTGTAGCACACGTTTTTGCAAGTGTCACTCATTTTCTTCAGATAATGTAAAGATTTGGTTGCCCTTTTTTTTTCTTATTTTTTTTTAATGGAAAATGTCAATGCTGTCTAATGCTGTCCTTTTATCTGATGCAGACCAGGGGAGACCTGCCACTAGCACAATCAACCGTTTCTCTGCATTGCAGCAGTCTGGACCCTCATCATCATCATCCTCACTTGACTCTGATCGTAGAGTGCCTCAAAGGTAATTTTGTAGTGCTGTTTTTGTTCTGTAGGGCAAATGAGTACTGCATGGTAATAATTCTAATGTAATCTTATTACACAAGTTTTTGACTTGCTATTTAACACCTATCTACTTTGCAGGAACAGCTCCAGTAGGGACCGTAGCGATCGAGATCGTGGTGACCGAGACCGTGGTGACCGAGATCGGGATCGCTTTGACCGATTTGATAGTAGGCGGGATGACCGAGGCCTAGACAGACCCCGTCAGGCCATCACCAAACGCAGCTTCAGCCGTGAAAATGAGGACCGCAGAGGAGACAGCCGTGGACCAGCAGATTCTGTGCGCCGCGTGTCCAGCATGACAGAGAACCGTGATCGAGGCAGTCGGGAGCGTGATAGAAGCAAGGAGACAGGTAGGAGTCAACAAACTGAAAGAACTGTCCTGAGCTGCACCAGCAATACCGGTCTTTGAGTTGATGATTCATAAATTGATCGACTCTTTACCTGCTTGGGTTTCTCAGTGAAGCCAATGTCGGCTCCTGCTCCACCACCACCTGTTCAAGCCAAACCCGCCCTGAGTGAGGAAGAGCTGGACAAGAAGTCCAAATCCATCATTGAAGAGTATCTCCACATCAACGACATGAAGGTATGTACATCCATGTATATTATTGACCTAGAAAACATTTTGAAAATAACCTGTAAATTCACCCTGGCATCTTCCACTTACATTATTCTTGTAACTCCTTTGTAGGAGGCAGTGCAATGTGTGCAGGAGCTGAATAGCGCCTCGCTGCTCTTCGTGTTTGTACGGAACGGTGTAGAGTCCACACTGGAGCGCAGCACCATCGCTAGAGAGCATGTGGGCCTGCTGTTTCAGAAGCTTGTTAGTGCTAGAATACTACTTCCTGAGCAGTACTACAAGGGGTGAGTTCATAGACCACTGCAGTTTATTATACTGTACAATTATATGGTAGGGATGCACATATGACATCTGAACATTGTAGCCATTTTTTACACTCATGACCTCTGGTTTTTGCTACGTGTCTGGGCCACTGACCTATACTCTTGGGATTGAGGAACAGCTTTTCATGCTTGTTCCATGTTTTGAGTCTTGATCAGGAAAGAAAGTTTGCGAAAGACCTGTTATTTAATGTAAATTATTTTAAATAGATTTTTTCAAACCTTGGCGTTATTGTATTTATCTGTGTTTTTATGTTTTGGTCTTTTTGCTATCTTTAATCAAAATGTAACGGCTTGCTCTAATGTTGCTGCCAATATTCTTATTGTCCCTACCACAAAAAAAAGGCTTTTATTTTTCTCTTCCCAGATGTTTGTTTTAATTTGCTTAAATACATAAGTAGCTACATGATAGGGATATCAAAACTCTCCCAATATTTTTGTATTTATATACTAGCGTTTAATATTTTGATTTGGCTTTTTTTTTTAAATACTTTTCAGTTTTAATTTTAATGTAAGTTTTAGTAATTTTATGTGCATTTGTCTATTATAATATTTATCTTTAAGTTTTAGTTTTAAAAATGAGTACTTAAACTTAATTTCAATTAGCTTGAGGCTTCATGATTTCTACACAATATAAATGGTTTCTGTGTGGCTGTGCACTTTATTGTTTGTTTTCAACCGCTCTAGACTGCAGGAGATTCTGGAGATAGCAGATGACATGGCCATTGACGTTCCTCATATTTGGCTCTACATGGCTGAGATCATCACACCCATGTTGCAAGAGGGAGGCATCCCCATGGGCCAGCTCTTCAGGTTTGGCACTGAATCTTGGGTTTCAGATACTTGTATGCAAAGATTCTAAACCATCAAATAAAATGATGTACACGTCATCTGACCTTTTGTTTTTTGAAAAAAATCATCCACAGGGAAGTGTCCAAACCTCTTCTCCCTATGGGCAAAGCAGCAATCTTGCTTGTTGAAATACTTAACCTTCTCTGCAAAGGACTGGTGAGTATCATGCTGTGGCAAATGCTTATGAAATATTATTCGCGTACATTGCCTTTTCAGAATTTATTTGTTTATTTTTTTTTACTTCTCTGAAATGTTCTCAGAGCCACAAAAAAGCTGGAGCGATGTGGTTTGAGGCGGGGCTCAGCTGGATAGAATTTCTGCCTGAAGAAGAGGATGTCATTAAGTTTGTTACAGAGCAGGTACTGAAAGCTGTTTGTACTGTATTGATGGGGTCAACATAATTTCTGTAATGTTTAGGGGTGTAATGATTCACTCAACTCACGATTCGATGAGATTCACGATACTGATTTCATGATTCAATTTTCTCAGGATTTTTTTTTAAACATTTAGATTTAAGACAAATTATAAATGAATCAAATAACAAAACTAAATTGAAATTTTAAAACAAACACCAAATCTAATCAAAAAAATAAGACAAAAAGAACCGTCTTTGTATAAACAAAGGCTTTGCCTGTGATCTTTCCATTCAAAATTAGAGGCAACTACTGCATTTGAATCACAATCCAAACAAAGATGCTGTATACATGCAGTTTTTTCGATCTGAATTAGATTGTATAATTTGAAATTTTAAAATACTACATAAAATATCTGCACGAAACAAAGACCGCAGAAGCTCTGAATGAGATGCAGATTCACTCTCTGACAGCAGGTGGTGCTTCTGGAACAGCAGCGATGCAGCGTTTCCTTGGCTGTAAAACAGTAGCGCAGCGCTTATGAACGCTGCTTTAATATGCATTACACAGAGACTAGATGAATGCCATCTAAACTTTTCTGAAGACAGTCAGTTCCCCTCAGAGAACCATTCATATAAACTCCCACCCCAAATTTATCGTGATTCGTTTAACAGCTCAACTGATTTGAATCGTCTCATATTTATATACATTTTCAACCGGCTCACGGTGAATCGTTACATCACTAGTAGTGTTGTCACGGTAACAAAATTTCAGTATCCGGTACCAATACCCGTGAAAATCCACGGTTCTCGATACCAAAGCAAAACACAAAAACATGCTAATTTAAAAAATTTGCCTATACTTTCATTTAATCCAAACTGTGTACATATTTAATTTTAAAGGGCTTTTGAAAACCAAGAATAACAACCAAGTTGGCTAAAAAAAAATAAAAAATGCTTTTTTTGACTGATATGACACAGTGTTAACCATTTGTACATTCTCAAACATGCATATTTTTGATTCACAATTCATTTAAAAGCCTCTGGTGTGTAAAAGTAGTAAATATGTCCTCCTGTTTTTTTTTTTTACCCTAATAAAAGTTATAGGAGCATTAAATAGTTAATGAAGAAACTTCATTCTAATGCTCATTATATTAGCGTTAGCCGCGCTTATGCTAACTATTAACTACTCTAATAACAGCGTTCATTTCAATCCGACATTCAAATTGAAATATTAAATAATCATAACTGAAGCGGTGTTTCCCACAGACTTGAACTCTATTTGCAAATTCATTCTCTGCCAGCAGGAGGCGCTTGTAGAGCGTGAGAGATCAGGTTTCCCCAGTAACGGCTGTAATCAAATAAGCACTGTGCTCACAAACGCTGCTCAGGCATTACAGGCAAGATGAAATGAAAATGGCATCCATCATTTTCTGAAGACGGTCGGTTTCCTTCAGAAATAGTGATATAAAAAAACACCCGCACCGGGTTTCGACTTTGACACGTGCAGTGCTCATGTTTATTCAATGAAGTCAAAGCCTTTTGGAAAATCTATTTGTGTGGGACACAAATAAATCAATGTATGGGAAACACAAGACCTAAATATTAAAAATTAAAATGAAACTTACATGCTTGAACTCTTTCATTTGATCTGGGTGTCTGTCTTTAAGGTGTTTTGTTAGTTTGATGTGTTTCCTCCTCTTGATGTCGCCACGTCTCAGTGCTTTTATGAAGAGAGCGCATCTGCGCACCTTTCGGATAGCGCATCAAGAACCGGGTTGACCGGGTACTCGGTACCACCGGTACTTAAAAAACCTGGTACCGTAACGTTTTCATTCTTTTAGTACCGACTTGGTACCGACGTACCAGGTCTTTTGACAACACTAGTCCCTAGTAATGTTAAATGTATATGTAAAAATATATATATTGTGCAATACTATATTATTGTGCTCAAATGTTTTTACTGGCAGCACCTTAAAAGAATAGATTATTTTAAGTTTAGTTATCTTCATAAATTGTTTCTTATGATATTATTCTTATGATGATCCTTTGTCTGCAAACATTTTCACTTACAGAGCCATAAAAGAACGATCCATTTTTATTTTTCGTATTTGCCTGAAATACATTTTTCATAATTTGTTTCATGAAGTTCTTTTCCTTTGCCATAATTTTTTTTGTATATTTTACATGCATTTGTACGCATACACACCCCATATATATTATATATAAATAAATAATACTCTGCATATGTCTTCATGAGCGTGAAGGTCATTAAGATGACATTGTATATATTTGTAGAAAATGGAGTTCACTCTGGGTGAGGAGTCTGAGAAGCCTAGTAAGAAGGAACTGACTGCTGAGGAGCTGAGTAAACATTTGGACAGGTTGTTACAGGAAAAAGCCAACAACCAGAGGATCTATGACTGGGTAGAGGTGAGCATGTGTGTTTCGGCTGTGGTTCGAGTCTCTTTAATCAAACATTAAGGTATTGCATCGATCTGCATTATGGGTATTACATTATGCGTGTTGGACGTGTACTGACTGGCATTTCTTTCCTTTAAAGGCCAACCTAGATGAGCAGAAGATGAGCTCCAATCAGTTTGTGCGGGCCCTGATGATGTCTGTGTGCCAGTCTGCCCTTATATGTGAGTGAATTCATTAGCTGCAATCCACTTCCTTCACTTTAGTTTGACTTCAGACCACTGACCTGTACTTGATGTTAATTGTGTGCATTAATGAACTGTCATAGGTGAGAATCCCTACAAGGTGGATGTGGAGCAGATTACCCAAAGGGCCAAGCTGCTGCAGAAGTACCTCTCTGATGAAACGAAGGAGCTGCAGGCACTCTATGCTCTCCAGGCTCTCATGGTGCAGATGGAGCA